GGATATTTAACGTGATGATGATAAAATATGAACAAACATCAACACTATTGACATGATGCGTAGGGAACAAATGAGCCTAAAAAAGAAAAATTGCATCTAAATACAAGGACAAGGAGAGAGAGATCTACAAGTCAGGTGTGAACAATATGAACAAGTAACCAGGTGTGTTGTGGTGTGGTATGTGGAGTATGAACAAAGTTATTACACCATTTGTCCCTGGTAGATGCCGACATGCACCACGGCGCCGCTGATTCACTGGGCCTTACAGCTACCAGTAATTTGTCCCTCCTTCCTTCCTTCCTTCTTTCCTTCTTTGCCTACCTCTTTCTTTCCTTTGGCTACCTCCTTCCTTTAGCTATATCCTTCCTTTCTAGGCTACCTCCCTCCTTGCACCCCACCCTCCTTCTCTGTCAGCCTCCTTCCTTGCCAGTCTACCCCTCTCCCCTTCCTTCCCTTTCCCTCTCTATCCCTCTCCCTGACAGCCTCGGCCCTCCCCATGCCTGTGGTCCACTGCCCTTGATGAATGCGGTGCTGTTGACGATGACTCCACTAAGGAATGAGGATACACACACACACACACACACACACGTGACTCGAACCATATGATTTCAGTAAACAACCATACCTCTCTCTCTCTCTCTCTCTCTCTCTCTCTCTCTCTCTCCATTATATTTAAGAATCTTGATCCATAAGGAGTTCACAAAATTCAATAGGTTTATATCGTTCTCTGATGCACTGGGGTACAATCTAGGTCATCTATATTGTATATTTTGACGGTGGAATTATATTTTTTTTTGTAGAATAAAATCAAAATATTAAGAAATTCTCGTAATTGGAACACCTCACCTGGGCTGGGTGGCTCACGTGTGTTGGTCTATAGTTAAAATGACCAGCTGAGCGTGTCGTTACCAGCTGGTTCACGGGGTAGTTGATGACAGTGCTCCCTTTACCTGCTGTTCTCTGTCACCATGGTCCTGTACTTCACCCAACCACACACACACACACACACACACACACACACACACACACATTGTAATTATACTGTACTGTAATGTTATCAAGCTGTGTCAGATCTCAGTTACAAGTCAATATATTTTCCCGTTATATTTGATGGTATATTGAATCTATTTATGAAACCAGGATAAAAGATTCATTTCTTGGTTCATTTATATTTAGTTAACCAAGACGTCTATAAAATTACTTTAACTAATCAAAACAGTTCAGATTATCTTACATGGCTCCTCGTTCTTGTCGAGTCTTACTGGTAGGGGAGATATTTTCATGTCTACACCTCAGTCAAGTCTTTTTGTTTCTGGTGTAGGGTTTTTATAATAGTTCCCCCTCCGCCTATCTCTCTTCCCCACGTTTTCTTTAATCAGATCCTCAGGTGCCACTTACTGTATTGTTGACTTGGGGACTGTATTCCCTCTTTATACCCTCCTTCCATCCTCCCCCTCTCACTAGCCCCTTACCTCCTCCTCTAGCCCCCACCAGCCCCCTACCCCCTCCCTCCAGCCCCACCAGCCCCCTGTACCTCCTCCTCTATTCCCTCACCTCCTCCCTCTAGCCCCCACCAGCCCTCCTACCCCTCCCCTAGCCCCTACCACCCCCTCCCTCTCAGGCCCCCCACAAGCCCCTTACCCTCCCCCTCTAGCCCCCCCACCTCCCTCCCCTCTAGCCCCCACCAGCCCCTACCACCTCCCAGCCCCCACAAGCCCCATACCTCCCTCCCCCAGCCCCCCACACAGCCCCCCTACCCCTCCCTCTAGCCTCCACCTAATCAACATTTCACCATTAACCATACCATTCACCATCGTCCAATCTTATAACTTCCCTCCCCAACACCCCCACCATCACACCCACCCCCTCCTCCCCATCATCACCCCCCTCACCCCTCCACTCCACCTCTTCCTCCTTCCCTCAACCCCCCAGCTGTGTGTACGTCACCATCACACCAGGCGGCACAACTATACGGTACAGGGTGACAGTTGACGGGAGTGACGGCTGGATTGGAGTGACAGCGACAGTGGCCACAGAAGGTCCCGCCAGGCCAGGTGTGCTCTCTGTTCCACCACCACTGCGTCCCCCCACCCACCACAACCACTGCGTCCCCCCACCACCACTGGCAACTTCCCCCACCATTGCGTCTGCCCTCCACCACCACCACATTACGTCTCCCCCACACCACCACTGCGTCTCCCTCACCACCACCACTGCGTCTCCAACACCACTGCGTCTCTCTTAACACCACTGCGTTTCTGACCACCACTGCGTCACCCCCCACCACCATATTGCGTCACCCCCACTGCGTCTCCCCCACCACCATTGCGTCTCCCTCACCAAGGTTATATAATATAGTGACATGTTCACTATTATTTTATATTGTTACAGCCGTAGTCTTCAATGTCATTTCCTACACGTCACCGTCATCCATGCACGTCACCGTCACCCCTACACGTCATCGTCACCCACACACATCATTGTCACCCCTACACGTCACCGTCATCCATGCACGTCATCGCCACCCACACACATCATCGTCACCCACACACATCATAGTCACCCACACACGTCATCACCCACACACGTCATCACTTCACTGGTCATTGACAACGTGTATAAAACACTACATAATCTACACCTTCTCCCCACTACCTGTTATCAGTGTGTGTGTGTCAGGATCAGTACTTGTGTCTCGACCAAGTCTCACAAGAAACTGAACCCGTCATACATACATACACACACACACACACACACACACACATACATACATACATACATACATACACACACACATGGTACACTATTTGCCCTTGAGTATTACACAAAACACCAACTGTTTCACACTTATATTTGTGTTACACTGATAAGCGTTAAATGTTTTTGTTTGTTTGGTGTTGTTGTATTGTTGTTGTTTTTTATTTGTTTTTCAATTGTTGTGTTTAGAATAGCGTCAACAACAGTGAAGCTTCCGGTTGTGGAGGAAGAGACAGACAGACAGACAGACAGACAGATGGACAGACAGACAGATAGACGGGGTATTATTGTCGTACCAGCAATTGACGTCATAATACTTTTGTGTGAGGGGCGTAGTGTTGTGTTGTGTTTATCCCGGTGAGGTGAGGTGAGATGAGGTGAGGTGAGGTGAGATGAGGTGAGATGAGATGAGATGAGATGAGGTGAGGTGAAGTGAGGTGAGGGAGTGTAGGTTGGTGTTGTTGTTGTAGGTTGTGACTCTCTCTCTCTCCAAGATGCAAGAAGAGTCAAAAGAGGTTTGTTTACAATCTTTATAGCGCCTTATGTGTGTGTGTGTGTGTGTGTGTGTGTGTGACCTCGGGGACCAGTTATACAGACAGCATTCATTGTTCACGCCATCAGTATTCATCCCAATTTGCTGCGAGTGGATGAGTAAGTATTTGATAGGTAAACACGAGCCACCCAGCACTATGTTGACACGGGGTACAGGATCACACACGGAACATGTATGTATGTATGTATGTATGCATGTATGTATGTATGTATGTATGTACTGTATGTATGTATGTCTCTCCCTCTCCTCACCTCCCGTTGTATGACTGAGCAAATATCTTTTTTTTTTACACATTGAGGGAGGAAAGAGCATCGTGTTTGTGACGTAGATGAGGGGCGGGGTGAGGGGTGAGGAGGGGGTGAGGGGGAGGAGGTGGTGAGGTGAGGAGGGAGGTGAGGATGGGAGGGGCTGGGTGAGGGAGGGGGCAGGTGAGGGGTGGGGAGGGGCTAGGTGAGGGGAGGGGCGAGGTGAGGGATGGGGAGGCTTGGTTTGGTGTGTTCGCCATTACCCAGTACAGTAACCAGGCAGTAGTGTGTGTGTGTGGCGAGGAGCATCTGGGAGTTAATGAGCCTTGATGACGAGATGTTTTCGTAATATTAATGAGGTACTTAGTGGTCATTCTCAGCCAACCACGATCATCCACACTGATGACGTCGATAAATCTGACCAATCACGATCTTCTTCAATGATGACGTTAATTGTTCTAGCCAATTACAATCTCCTTCAATGGTGACGTTGATTGCTCCAGCCAATTACGACCTCCTACCTACACTGATGACATCAATAAATCTGACCAATCACAGCCTCCAGTAATGATGACGTTTATATAAATCTAACCAACCGCAATCTCCCAAAATGATGACTAGCCAATGACTATGTCCCACGCTGATGGTGTCATTAAATCTGGCCAATCACAGTCTTCCATTACAAGAAACCTCGAGAGTAAAAAATTCACCAGTCATCTCTTTGACCAATTAGAAATCAATTAATAACAGCTAGTTATAACCAAAGTATAACGATAAGCCGTGTAACAATTTCCAGCCAATCAGAATGCGTGCACCAATAACCAGAATATAACAGCCAATCAAGGGCGGTGTAACAAAAGTCTTTCCACCAATCAGGTATCATGATAGTAATCCTATATGAAGCTTCAGCGCTCTCTCTCTCTCTCTCTCTCTCTCTCTCTCTCCATTGCTTCAGGCAAGGAAATTTTCCCCAAACTAGGCCTACCTCCCTTTAGCCTAGGCCTACCACCCTCCATAAATCGTAGCGGTTGACTCGACCGGACATTGGCCATAGGGATAATGGTCAATGTTGGAATATTACCCACCCATTACCCACCCATTATCCACCCATTACCCACCCATTACCATAAGATCCCCCTCATTACAAGCGCGTTCTGGGGTTAATAGGCAAATGGTAATGGTGGTTGGGTGAGGAAGGGAGAGACGAGGGGATTGGCTGGTTCAAGATGGTTGTTAGTAGTTACTGTAAATGTTTACGGGAGGTTTTAACCAAATTTCTATTAATTAACCAACGAGAGAGAGAGAATGATGGACGAATTGACTATTTTAATATTTTTTGGGGGTATTTACAGTATATATAATTAACGACCTAACTACCTATCTAACTAACTGGCTAACTATCTAACGAGCTCAGGAGAGAAATAATCAAATGTTTTTGTTTACAGTCTCGCGGCGGAGGGTCTGGTGCGTCCAATAAGAAGCAGAGAGAAACTTGTAACAGCAGTACTAAGGATGGCCGCCCCCGCGAGAAGGTGAGACAGACAGACAGGCAGACAGACAGAGAGACAGACACAGACAGACAGACAGGTGTTTACAGGGTTTACGGTATTATGACTTGTTGATAATTGCTTAACTACTCTCAACTGACCAATTAATGCATACGTCTACTAATTGTACGTTAATAATAATATGACTCACTATATACTCGTTAAATTAGCTTACACATATCAGCTAATTATGTGAGTTAGATTAATTACACTTATTAGATTGGATTATATTCCCTCATTATGGTAATTATATGTGAATTGGTTTATGTTGTATCATAAGTTTAGTTTCTTAAAGTGAAAATTGTAGGATAATAATAATAATAATAATAATAATAATAATAATAATAATAATAATAATAATAATAACTGCAAGTAGCCAAATATAATTCAAAGGGATCATAGATATAAAAATACATTGCTTGCGGTGTAAAAATTCCACTAGTTATTTTTATATGTATTCCGTAGCAGACATTATGATTATACCAGAATCTGCAACCAGTGTAAACTTAATTTAACGTGTAATTATAACCTACAAAAATCTATAATAATTCTGTCAAGTAAATAATTATATATCGGCTATAATTCAACCAAGCCTGTAATTATTTTAATATTCTGTAATTGTAGAAATTGGTACGTATAAAAGTTCAACAATGTTTCTTATTTAAAATGTGAAGCCTATTTATGTATTTGAGTTTCTACAGTGATACAGAATTAAACTCGTCTCACTCGTTAACTGGTCTTGATGTATTATGTAGAATTGAAGTAGAATATTGTTGTTGTTTTTCTTGTATTTGCATCATAATTGTTGTTGCAGGAGCCATGTGTCAGCCACAACAACAACACCACCACCACTCGCCACCACCACCACCATCTCCAACCCAACCAACCAGGCAGCGGACGACCAGAGAGCGTAGTGGAGAAGACTACGACTACTACCCCAGACGACCACGACCACATCGCCCAGCCACCACCACCACCAGCCATGGCAGCGGAGGTCGACCAGATCAGGGTTCACCTACAGCAGCAGAATACCCAAATTGAGGAACAGATTCAGCAGATAGTATTACAGAGGCAAGAGTGGGAGGATGAACGGCAGCAGTTACTCAAGCGTTTGGAACAACAGCAGGAGCAGTTCGAAGCGGAGAAACAGAAATATGAAGAACAGCTGGAGGATAAATTACTACAGGTGGAGGAGCAGAAGCAAGTGATGGAGGCGCAGAAGCATGTGATGGAGGAACAGAAACAGGTCATGGAGGAACAGCAGCTGAGGATTGAGGATCTCGCTGAGGAGATTATGGTAGGTTGCTGGTCCTCGCGGCCCGGGGGGTCACTAGTCTTCCACCTGTCATTATACTCAATTGTCCGTCATAGAAATAGTGACAGTGATTGTTTTACGAGTGAAATATTTAATTATCTCTTGTACTGATTCTCTTTTGATACTGACACTTAATGCATTGTTTAGTTTACAATGAAATTATTATGAAATATTTGCATATTAATCTGTAGTTAGCAGCAGTAGTTGTTGTACTGCGGTTGTAACTAAAACAGTGTTACTATACTCCTTCCTTACCCCCTACAGGAGCGGGAGTGCCTAGTACCTCCTCCCCCTACGTCGTGGCCCCCGAGGAGGGAGTCCTGCGTCAAGGTGGGTACATCACCTCCCCGCCCCTCCTCCTCCTCCCTCCTCCTCCTCCTGTCCTCCTCCCCCTCCCCTCCCCTCCCTCCTCCTCCCGTCCTCCTCCTCCTCCCCCTCCTCCCTCCCCTCCTCCCCCTCCTCCCTCCCCTTCCCCTCCTCCTCCTCCCCCTCCTCCCTCCTCCTCCCTCCTCCCCCTCCCCTCCTCCCCTCCTCCTCCCCTCCCCTCCTCCCCTCCTCCCCCTCCCCCTCCTCCTCCCCTCCCCCTCTCCCTCCCCTCCCTCCTCCTCCTCCCCTCCTCCCCTCCCCTCCTCCCTCCCCTCCTCCTCCCCTCCTCCCTCCCCTCCCCCTCCTCCCTCCCCCCTCCTCCCCTCCTCCCCCCTTCCCCCTCCTCCTCCCCTCCCTCCCCCTCCTCCTCCCCTCCCCCTCCTCCTCCCCTTCCCCTCCTCCTCCCCCCCCTCCTCCCTCCCCCCCCCTCCTCCTCCCCCCTCCCCCCTCCCCCCCCCCCCTCCCCCTCCTCCTCCCCGTCCTCCTCCTCCTTCCCCCCTCCTCCTCCCTCCTCCTCCTCCCCTCCCCCTCCCCCTCCCCTCCCTCCTCCTCCCCCTCCCCCTCCTCCTCCCTCCTCCCCCCCCCTCCTCCTCCCCCCCCTCCCTCCTCCCCTCCTCCTCCCTCCTCCCCCTCCTTCCCCCTCCTCCTCCCGTCCCTCCCTCCTCCCCTCCCCCTCCTCCTCCCCTCCTCCCCCTCCCCCCTCCTCCCTCCCTCCCCCCCTCCTCCCCTCCTCCATCCCCCTCCCCCCTCCTCTCCTCCTCCTCCCCTCCTCCCCTCCTCCTCCTCCCCGCCTCCTCCTCCTTCCCCCTCCTCCTCCTCCTCCCCTTCCCCCTCCCCCTCCCCGTCCCCTCCCTCCTCCTTCCCCCCTCCTCCTCCCCTCCTCCTCCCCGTCCTCCCCCTCCTCCTCCCCGTCCCCCTTCTTCTCACCACGTGTCACAGTCCCTTATGTATTGTTATGTAGTTAAGTCATCGAAGTAACTTAACCTTTATATTGTCTACTCACTTAACAGTCTCTCGTGCCTCAGGTGTTTGTGTCACTTAGAACCATTAACCCCAGTAAGAGATCTAATTAATATAACCCATTGTTTACATACGTGGTTTAGGAGTTTGTAAGTGTGGTGTATTAAGCTGTGTTGAGGACAGACACTTGGACTTAATGGTCTAGTCTTTCTGGGAGTGTTGGTAACGCTGTCGGGATTTTTTGTTTATTAGTGGAGAACTCATTAATGATTGAAGCTAATAATAGGGGGCCCCGTCACTCAGGATATGGGCCCCGTGACTCACGATAGGGGGCCTCCGTGACTCATGATAGGGGGCCCCAGTAACTCACGATAGGAACCCCCGTCACTCACGATAGGGGCTGAACCAAAGGTGTATTAAAAATGACCTACTACAAATCACACAACGCTGAAATTCACTATGACAGTATCACACACTAGTTCTTGAAGACCGAGGCATCCAGTATGAACGTGTGTCTGTGGGTCGTCCTTGCGTGGAGAAATACGAGGACTTTGTGTGAGATATGAGGGAACATTCTCTCTCCTTGAGTAAACGGTACAGGAGAAACTAAGAGGGGACGGCATTTTACCGTTTCCTCCCCTGAAGCGTCTGGGTGTCCTCTCACTCACCCACCACCCATCTGTTGCCTTCACACACCACCCGCTGTTGCTACTCAGGGGGTGTTGTGTGGTGTGTAGGGGAAGACGCAGGTGGTGAGGCTATAGAGACACAATGTACTGTCTGTTTTTATGACTTAATTAGGCTTGTATACAGTAGATTAATAGTGCTAATGATAAATACTGCATATACACTTCTTCTATAAACCTGTGTACATATTCTAACGTACATACGCCCCTTCCTCCCCCCCGCGAGAACTAGAGAAACGGCTATACAACATCTTATGATTTTGTGACAACTGATATAACTTTTGGCTTTCGTTTATTAATCACAAAATAATATCTGGCTGTGTTGATACCGTGATGTGAAGGAGGGGGTAGAGGACACACACACACACACACACACACACACACACACGAGAGAGAGAGAGAGAGTCGTCATGCTCATCATCAATCAAGATTACTTTCCTCTGATCCAGCTTAATCATGACTGGCCAGCAGACTAATTCTTGAGAGAGAGAGAGAGAGAGAGAGAGAGAGAGAGAGAGGTAATAGCAGGAGAATGGTTAGGTTAGGTGGAGGTTTTAGATTTGCTCCGCCAGGTGACTAGTTTATTGTGCACCCTCTGGCATCCTGAGGTGGGTGGTCAGAGGGGTTACAGGGGGGTCAGGATTGTACTCTCTCTCTCTCTCTCTCTCTCTCTCTCATTGAGGGAGTAAGTGCTTGTATTATCTTTCGCTATGTTGATGGATAAGTGATCATAAGTGCTTGTGTTATCTCCGGGTTATAATGACGTTATCAGAGGAGTGTGTTTGTTATCAGTCAAACACGGTGATATAATTTGTTTCATGATATCAGAAGTTAATTACTATTTTATGTACAATAGATAGATAGATAAAGATGTTTTCAGTTGCTCTGTTTACTTGTTTCTTTGTTTGTGTATTTGTTTAGTTGTGTATTGATTGTAGTTGTATTTAATTTTTGTTGTGCATTTGTTTGTCTAGTAACTCTAGTCGATTGTTTGGCTATTTTTTCATCTATCTATCATCAGATGAAGAGAGAGAGAGAGAGAGAGAGAGAGACCACAATATACACTTAACACTTTCTTCCTCACCTGTCTCTACCTCTATATCTGGGGGTCAGTTGCCAGCTGTTTGATAAATTGTGTGTTTTCTTTACCTAGCTTAGGGCTGTGTGTGTGTGTGTGTGTGTGTGTGTGTGTGTGTCGTTGAATACTCTTAAAGTTACACACAGGTAAATACTATGGTACCAGACACAGACATAATAGAGAAAATAGAATGTTAAAGCCTTAAAACATACAGAAGTAGATGATGACGTCATTGCTAGTAGATTATAAACAACTTGTTCTCTCCCAGGTGTGTGAGCTGCCCACGGTACTGGAACTAAATAGCGAAGATGAGAGCACGCCCACATCCACCACGCCTACCACGCCCACCACGCCCACCAAGCCTCAGCAGAACCACGCCCTTGATCAATTCTCGGCCTTCACTCTGGAGGAGCCGTGTGCGCCCTCAGCCCTTCTCACGCCCACCACTCCAGGCACCGAACCACCAGATTGGCCTAAGGTACTATACGTTGTTACAGGTCACATGGGCGCCCCCTTAAGACTGCATCAGATCTAATGGTTAGGTTGAGGTCTTGTTAGTACTGGTACCGTCTAGGATTAGGACCCATTCGTCGTGGGAGCTTTTTAATAACTCAGTAGGGTTGGTCAAGTCAAGACAGGTGAGGTTAGGTAGGTGGCCTGTGTGGTGTATTAGTAGAGATGAACACTATACAAAGTCTTATAGGGATAAACCACAGGGAAACAGTAAAGCCTTAGTGTATTGACTTTTGTTCTGCCACTTGACGACTTGAGTCTCTAGCAGAAGGACTGAGAATAACCAAGAGATGATATAGGTATAATAATCAACTTATTTACGGTGTATAGTTAGTCTTCCTTATCTTCGGGTCCTGTTTATTGCACGTCTTAAAATATTGGAATTATTTAGGGACCACCGAGAAAAAATGACCTATTATTGTTATATAAGTGAGTGATATAGTCTAGGTACAGTGAGGGTGAAAGTGTAGCTGGCCAAGACTTATTGAGGCTGTCAGATGTAAACTCATGCCTGTGTACGCTGTGTTAGTCCTGCTTTGTTAGGCTTCTCCTTATAAAGACAGCAGGGGTCGTGTTTGCGTCTGGTGTGTGCGTGTGTATCTCTCATGTCCATTTTAGGTACAACATAAAAGATGATGTCAGTGTTTAGTGTCACGTACCTGATGCATGATACATCTGCCTCTGTGTTGTCGTATCCAATAATCCAGACTTGGATGTACGTGAGATTTGCACAGTTAAGGACCATTCTCCTATCTTTTTATTTGAAGAGAATGTACGTATGCTTTATAATTCCCAAATTTTGTTTTGCTTTTCTTACTGTTGCCCCCACTTGTGGCGCCGCCTTTAGTGAATGATCTAACACAACGCCTAGATCTTCTTCCCCTTCAACAGTGTCTAGGAAAATGTTATTAACGTGATAGTTGTGATTATTGTTGATGTATCCTACGAGTAGTCCTACAACATTTGTTAATGCCTTACGCAAAGATTAAGTCATATTTGTAATTTTTTTGCTATGTAGAACACCCATTATACATAAATAAAACTGAACTAATCGTGCTAAAGGCTCTAACATATTCTTTTGTGATGTAACTGGATCATATACATTTACTTATGTCTACCCTCTTCCTGTTGGCTGAACCGTTTTCTCTGGCGGAGGTTTACACTCTTAGAGAAAACGATATTTACGGTGAGGGGATAACCAGAGTATTTTACTGAAGTTTCATTGTCTACTTTACTTTTTAAAGATTTTCAGGGTAAATGGAAAATGGATATTATTATATGCCTCCCCGTCAGTAGACCGCTGCGCATAAAGTATATTTTTGTTCTGTCCAATTCGACATTAGAACGCTCAGTATGTAAAATTGAGGCTTCAACATTTTTCCATTAAAGCATCTGAACTTGGCGAATTATGATACGTGGTTATGTAACTTATGTCGGATGATTTTTCTTCAGCCTTTAACGTCTTTGGGACTTGAGGATAACTGTCGAAATGACTGAATGCTAGCTGGACCGGACATAAATTTTTAACAAACACCTACAGTAATTTCTAATATTTTTAAAGGTGTTCTGTGTTAAAATGATTTATAAAATATATTCTTTTATTTTTCAGGTTAATGAGAAGGAAATCGACAACCAGTTTGTTCACCTGTCAAGAGAACACCAGGAGCTGCAGAAGTCGTATCAGCTGCTGGCATCCACCTCAGCGGCCGGCTCACCTGTCGTCGATTTCTCGGGCAAAGGTGAGTGAAATTATTTATACACTACCGTTTGTTGTATTCATAGAGATAAAAAAAAGTCTTGTAACATTATGGTCGTGTTATCTCTTTCATCATGATGCGTTAAGTGACAATAAATATATGTCCGGTTAATTACTGTCCAATAACTGACGGTCTTTCTATTTAACTATCCTAGGTTATTGTTCTCTTTATTATTTCAAGTTTCATTTATATAAAAAAATATATCATAATGTGTAAATATATATTGGAATGGTTGATTGTATCACTTAATCGTATTTATGCCTCTAAACTGTTCCATAGTTGCTGCTCTACAAGTTTGATACAGTAATGTGTCGGCCACGCTATATTTCTTTAGGTACCCCTTAAATTCTAAGCTTACCATCACACGTTTTCTTTAGTGATCTGTAAACGTCGCAATGCCACACTATTTTATTTTAACATCATAGAGTATTTCTGTCACTAGAGCGAGGTAGGATATGCATTGGTTGAGTGAATTTGCTTTATTTACCTAATGGTCACCCATATTAGAGGTGGACCTGACCAAAATCACAAATGGAGACTGAAATGTTTAAAAATCCCCAACACTGTACAACAATTCACCTGCTTAATATATAAAATTATGTAGAAAGGTACACAGGTAATTTTAAAGCTTACTTAGTTAAATGTTATCGTTAATAAGATGTGAAATATGAAGGACGTGTTGAGTGTGCATGGTGTAGTGACCTTATATAGCCTTACTGCACAGTGTTTAGTGGCAGCAGGTTGAGACTGTACTGTATAGGTTAATACTACACATGTGATAGGTGTAGTATACAGGGACAAACACACAGGCTAAGTTTAGTACACAGGTGAGGTGTGATGTAGGGCAGGGAGGACGGGTTATAACTGTACTGTTGTGTGTGTTGGCAGAGGGTCCGGCGACGTGGTGGTTGTCGGCTCGAGTGCTGGAACTGGAAGCCCTGGCGGCGACACTGAGGGTGGAGCTGCAGGAGACGAGGGACCAGGCTGACCTGCTGGAGTTCCGCTGTCTGGAGCTGACCGAGGGCGCTGACAGGGTGAGTGTTACTGTGGTGTTGGCTGGACCAGTTTTTATATCAAAGAATCTTAGGAGCGGAAGAGGCTCAAGCGCTTTGTTTTATTGTTATGTTGTGTAACCAACTGCAGCGTCGTACAGGATACACTTTACAACAGAGTACGTGAGGTATAAGTATTTAAAGTAATATATATGGAAATATAGTAAAACTGATACGTACTATGTTCGTATATGCTAAAAGAAAAAATAAATTAGAAATACATTAAACTAATTATCAGGGGACACCGTGGCCCCAACGCCCTACCTAACTGTGTCTCAAACGCCCCTTCAGACCCTGGCACCCTCCGGGTCACTGTGTCCCCAATACCCTACCTACCAGTGCCCCACTTTTTCAGTGCCCAGGGCCCGGGTCATTACCATCGTTGTTATTCAAGCTGTCAGGTAAATATTGGTAATGTGTGTGGTCGAGGGAGTTAGTGCCTTACCTCTGGTGCTTCGGCGGCAGTGATCACCAGCCGCGGCCACCTCGGGATGACAGTGTAAGACCAGGTACCTCTCGGGGTTAAGGTCATGCATTAAACATATTGATGCTACATAGTTTATGCCCAGTAGAGTCTGTAAGAGGCATAATGATGTGCACCTGTCCATACCTCCCATCATCCCACCCAAGACTGTGAAGAGAACTACGGACAAACCCTCTACAGTAGGCCTAGAACAATTATTTTTAGGCCTTTTTGTACTCATCCCTGAATTTGATTTGATTTATACTGATATACCAGAGGAGCAGATCTTTGCCCACGACACACCTCCAGGGTTATAACTGGACACCTTGATACTAACTGATGCTGCCTGTCCCTGTGGTAGTTGGTAAAAGTTAATAACGCCTCGGTATATAAGTCTTGACACCTCCTGTTAGATAACGATTTACACCACGTCTTGATCCATAAATACAATGATGACGTCAGATGTTGATTGTATTTTCACACCACATGATGATCCATAAATACAATGATTACGTCAGTTGTTAATTGTATTTGCCCTTATATTGAGTCTTAAAAGGTTCTAACCTAACCTAACAACATAACGTCAAGCCAACTCTGAATCCCTGACTTTAATCGCTCTGATCGTCTCCTTTACATACATCAACACACGATTGAACCAGACTATCATGCTAGCATTAAACTCCTAATATAACCTCTTAAGGTGCTTGTTTATGATAACCTTCGTGTCACTGTGATCACCGCCTCACTGGACAGTATTACTTGTAGTCCTTCAACCGACAGGACCTTCGGGATGTCTCTGTCTGTCTGTCTGTCTTAACATTTTAGACAGATTGATTCTTCTTAACAGGAGATGACCTTAGGATGAAAGTGAAACCCCGGAGGTGACAAGGTTCTTATGAGGTTAGGTAGGTTAGGTTAGTCGACACACAGAGCAACAACATTCCTGTGTAGATGATGAAAGAGCCGTGGGAATATGACCGGTAGTTGCCGCCTTACAACTTCCATTTCCTCCTCACTGGTCGACCCCTCACCCTCACCCTCTGCCATCATGACACTCCTCTTCACTGATAAGCTCCCTGTGTGGTGGTGACTGTGCCGTGACTTCCTGTTAGTAATGTTGATATCACTTAAGTTTATCTAAGTTTATCTGTTCTGTTATAATTCTTCCTTACGTGGGGTCATTTACCAAGTGGCTAATTAGAATTGAGTTTATGTTATGATACTTGTAATAATATCCAATGATCCGTTTGTAGTCTATGAGTTACATCATGTTGAAGTAACAGGAGCGAGAGGAACAACAGTGCCGTTTACAGGAGAGAAAGTAATGGTTTTTATCCCATTGTTTGAGCAGCCATCTGTTACCTGTTAAGTGATGAGGTGAGGCAGGAGTCATATAGCGTGTACGTCACACCTGATGCTTCTGGAACACTCTACCCGTGTGTGTGTGTGTGTGTGTGTGTGTGTGTGTGTGTGTGTGTGTGTGTGTGTGTGTGTGTGTGTGTGTGTGTGTGTGTGTGTTACTTCATCCAAGACAATACTGGACAGGATAAAGAGAACTTATAAACACAGGATAACTCGTCACTGGTAGATCCTCGACTGTGACTCTACTGTACTCTCGGGGCAGTAGACGGGAGACTTAAGAGTTTATACTTGTAATATACCCAAAGGTCTGGTCTTTAATCACCAGACAAACATCACAATATCCTGAAGTGAGAGATAAAAGGAAGTTATAATTATATTCACTAAGATGGGAAGATATGGTAACAGTTCACGCCTCAGTTCCATACGTTTATTACCAGTAAACTAATACGACATGGCAGATAGGAGGCGTCGAGAAACTGATGGTAGTCTTATTTGTTCTTGAGAAATCGGCAGCACAGGTTAGTATGTTTATTGGCAGCAGTTAGCAACAGCTCATTTGATCACGTGGTAATACAGGGAATCCACCCCAGGTAAACGCTGGGTGGTGGGGTGGTTGACGACGGGTTCTTGGCGGGCAGAGGAGAGGGAAGGGGGACTTGGTTAGGTGAGTAAAGCTTTATTCGTGTGTCGTCTATGTCACGCTCTCTGTTTATATACACCACACTCACACACTTGATCACTCATAGGTGTACACGTGTGTTTAGGATCATACACAAAACACGTATACACACGCAGATACATACGTACATGACCACGTGTGCCTTTCCTCTCTGTGTCTCTGTCTATTTATCAAAAACCTTCCTCCCTCCCTCCCTCCCTCCCTCCCTCCCTGCTTCTCTCCCTCTCTCTCCCACCTTCCCCACTTCTCTCTCTCTCTCTCTCTCTCTCTCTCTCTCCTTCGTCACTATTCATTGGGGTTCACTCATTCACTGTGGTCTGTACCTCATACTTCCTGTTCCTCACACAAGACAGGATCAGGTAAGGGCATAAAGGCTGTTTACATCACCACCTTTGTCTTGGTGAAGCCAATTGTACCACTATTGATCACCCAACCTGGTGATCCCCCCCCTCACCTACACTACCTGGTGACCCCCTCCTCCCATCCACTCACTCACACTCTTCACGCCTTCCTTACCTTCACTCCTCCTCCTCCTGCTCCCTCCCGGCAATCCTCCACGTGCTGTCTCAATCCTTTCCACGTTCTTTAGATTCATTTCTCAGCTCCTACCATCCACACCCTCACACACGTCACCTTTCACTGCCTCCTCCTCCTCCTCCTCCTCCCTTATTTGCATTCAGGTAAACATGAACCCGTCTGTCTCTAAGTGAGTTTATTTGAAAGAGCATGTGTGTGTGGGGGCTGACACAGGTGGTAGAGTTGCGGCAGCGGGGCAGGAGGAAGAGGGTGATGATGGGCAGTACTTGGAGGAAAGTGGGCAGGAGAGGGAGGTAGGTGGGCATGAGGTAGGGGAGGGAAGGTGTGACCCAGCTAAGAAAGTGGGTCAGTGGTGACCGCGCGGGTATGCTGACCCTCACTGAGTCCGACACCCAGCTGAGTAGAAATGCTTGTTTGGCTGGATCGTCCACGTAACTGTGAGGGTTAAGTTATTTGCTGTGGGGGCACGATATACCCAGTAGGGCTGAAGTGGGTGCAGGGATGTACCTGTCTTGGAGCCATAAAAAACAACGTCTTGGGTGGTAGGTGAGTGTGGCAGGTGTGTAAGTTAGGTGGAGTGACAGAGAAAAATTTTGTCGTGATGATCAAATGTAGGGAGTCTAGGGGGGGCTGCAGGTGGAGGCTGGGGGACGACTGAGAGGGGTTCAAATGGGTGTTGGTGGATGGTGAGGGAGGAGTAGGTGGAGGGGCGGCGCGCGTAGTCGGTTACCTCAGAAGGACTGCTGGCGACCCTTCAGGAGGGCCGCCGCCACTCCATAAGAGGCTCTCCCCCTTCACCCACTGCCTGGAGAAGCAAGTCAGTTAACGGGCACTACAACTAGAAAAACCACCACGAGTACACACGTAGAACCTCAGGGTGAGAATGACTGGTTTATGTAGGGAAGATGTTCTATTCCGTGTACCCCAATCATGGTGCGGCTGGTTTCGGAGACATGTTCTTGTTTAAACCTGTGATTACGGTTCAACAAGGTGTCCAGAGCGAGTTCTTAGTCGAAGTAGAGGACGCAGTGATAAGAGGAAGGTCCTGCGTCGGGACGGTCACGGGTGGCGGACTGTGGGCCACTGTGCTACACCCCGGGGCCCTGAACACGGTGTTTAGGGTCGTCTGCCTCCTGTATTAAGGTCACCTGTGTGCTCTGTGGAAATCCTCACGGGATACTAAGGGTCATACTACACTACACTACACCACACCACACCACACCACACCTCACCTCACCTCACCACACCACACCACACTTCGGAAAGTGACCACCGCAAACAACCTTGACCAATCCCTTACATAACCACCAGTAGCGTCCTCAACCATACGTGTGTTTGTTTACTTATTCTGACACGTGAAGAGCAACAGAACAAACTCAAGGTGAAGATTAGTTGATGTTTGTTTGTTTATGTGTATGTATGACCGTGGAAATATCAAGTCCTGGGCCAGTCAACCTCTGCAGTACATGTTAGACTGGTTGAACTCAGACTCGCTTCCCTGAGACTCGCTTCCCTGACAGGTCCTTGCTGTAGATGTTTCCTCCTCGTCTCGTTAGTTGTTAGTTTCCATAAAATTACCAAAATATATCGAGAGAGAAAAAAAAAACACACAAATTGACGACCCAAAAATAATATAAAAGTTGATCCATGTTTGAGTTTGTAAAATTCTTGTAAACATTGGTAAAAATAATGAAAAATTCCAGTTTGGTTGTGAAGAAAATATATGACGACCGTATGATGTTGGTAGACGAGGCAATGACCTGGTTACTGAACTCACAAAAGACACTCAGCTGGTCCCCCTCCATCCCCCCCCCCTACACCTTTTATCCTCTCCTCTATCTCCTCCTCTTCTTATCTCCGTCGTTTGTTCTCTTCTCCCTCTTTATCTACTTCCCTCCACCAACCATACCACTCCACCTATTCCTCTTCAGTTATGTCCTT